CCCTCGAAATGTATCTGTTTCATTTTGACTCTGAATTAAGTGGTGATTTATTTGAAGGAGTTAAGTTATATGTAATTATTTCTTTTACATTATTAGTGTAGTATTTTCTTACATGTGATAGCCTGTTAATTAGTAAGTAAAATATATAAGTACCCCCAAACATGTCTAGAACTTACTATTACACACTTATATTTTGTAGAGATCCTATTATCCCCTTGAATATTCTCGAAGTGAAATGTACCCTCTTGACGTAAAAGCTTCATTTGTAAAAGATAGAACACTTTTATTAATTTAATTAACATGGCTTTTCACGTGTTATTTCATTACTCAAAACACGTAAATATTCTTTGTAACACATGAGGATTAAATTCATTTTCATAAGCCAAACACGTGATTTTCTTTTAAAAATGATGGTGGTGGTAAGAGTTAAGCTTAGGTTTCGTGCAACTCTAATACAATATTGAAGTGCTATCTATTTCTTGTAAAAGCTTTAGTTCTTATAAAGAGTTAGGTATGATTTTTCCTTGCCTCTTTCTGATAGAAAAAATAAATTTCAATTCTGATATATACTTGAGATTGAATGTACTTTTATACTAGGTAAAAACAAATCTTAAATCACATGTAGTAGGATGGGAGTCGATCGCGATTTACTTGCAAGTACTTTATCTTCGAATATAAGCCAACTAAGATGATAATTAAATTGCATGTTAGTAATATTGTACTTCCAGCAAAATGAAATTATCATTATTAACAACAATAATGACAACAACAAAAAATTCAGTTTAATCTCATAAGTGAGGTATGAGGAAGGTAGTGTGTACGCAGTCTTTATCCCTACCCTATAATGGTAGAAAGATTATTTCCGATAGACCATCGGCTCAAGGAACATTCAAAATAAAGCAATAAACAATAGCAACAACAATATAATAGGGTAATGAAAGCTAATGACACAACATGTAATAAAGAACTAGGAATAAGAGAATACAAGAATAGTACTAGTACTACTGGTAAGTCTAGGAGAAACTCACGACTACCTGTCAACCTTCAACCCTAATCCTCGACCTTCACACCTTCTTATCTTGGGTAATATCCTTGGTAAGTTGAAGCAATGACATGTTCTACCTAATCACCTCTCCCCAATACTCTTTGGCCTACCCCTACCCTTCCTCAGACCCACTATGGTCAACCTCTCATACCTCCTGACCGAGGCATCTATGTCGCTTCTTTACATGCCCGAACCATCTCAGTCTCGATTCTCGCAACTTGTCCTCCACAGAGGCTACTCCCTCCTTGTCCCTAATAACTTTATTCTCAATCTTGTCTTTCCTTGTCTGTCCACACATCCATTTCAACATCCTCATTTCAACTACTTTCATTTTCTAGACACGGGGCTTTTTGATAGGCCAACACTGAGCTCCATACAACATAGTCGGTCTAATCACCATTCTTTGAAATTTTCCCTTATGTCTAGGTGGCGTATCCTTATCATACAAAATCCCCGAAGCGGGCCTCCATTTTATCTACTCTGCTCCAATAGTATGAGTAACATCCTCGTCAATCTACTTGTTGCCTTGTATTATAGATCCAAGATACTTAAAACTATCTCTTTTGGCGATGACTTGAGTATCGGTCTTCACTTTCACTTCTACTTCATGCATCGCATCACTGAACGTGCACTCCAAGTATTCTGTTTCGACCTATTCAACTTGAAACCTTTAGACTCTAGCGTCTGTTTTCAAACTTTCAACCTAGCGTTAACTTTGCCTCATGTCTCGTCAATTAGTACTATGCCATCAGCAAATAACATGGACCATGGCATCTTCCTTTATATGTATCGCGTCGGCACATCCAATGCTAGGGCAAACAAAAATGAGCTTAGAGCTGATCCATGATGCAATCCCATCTCCACTGAAAAATGTTCTGAGTCTCCTCCCGCAGTCCCCATTCGAGTCTTAGCTGCCCCGTGCATGTATTTAATCACCCTAATGTACGTTATCGGGACACCGCTAACTTCTAAACATCTCCGTAGAACCTCCCTTGAGACTTTGTTATAGGCTTTGTCAAGGTCAATGAATACCATATGCAAGTCTTTTTTCCTCTCCCTATGCTGCTCCACCAATCATCTTACAAGGTGAATGATTTTTGTAGTTGACTGTCCCGGTATAAACTCGAACTAGTTTTCGTAAATAGATACACTTCTCCTCACCAAACTTTCCACCACCACCTCCCAAACTTTCATAGTATGACTCAGCAACTTAATACCCCTATATTTGTTACAGTTCTGGATATCAACTTTTGTTTTTGTACAACGGAATCAACAAATTCTTCCTCCAATCTTCGGGTATCCTTTTCGTCTTGAAAATGACATTAAACAAGCTAGTAAGCCACTCCAAACTTGTCCTTCCCGCTTCTTTCTAAAATTCTACCGGAATCTCATTAGGCCCAGTCGCCTTACTCCTTCTCATCTTTCGCTTTGCCTCCTCAACCTCCTCACTCTGAATATGTCTACAAAACCCAAAATCTCTCCGACTCTCTGAGTTCTGCAAAATACCCAGCACGATGTTCCTGTCCCCTTCCTCGTTCAAGAGTCTATGGAAGTATTCCTGCCATCTACGCTTGATATATGCCTCTTCCACTAATACCTTACCATCTTCGTCATTGATGAACCTCACTTGATCCAAGTCCCGAGCCTTCCTCTCCCTAATCTTGGCTAATCTGTACAGCTTCCTGTCACCTCATTTATCCCCAAGATCCTCATACAATCTTTTAAATGATGCAGTCTTAGTCCCCGTGACCGCTAATTTTGCCTATCTCCTTGCCTTCTTATAACACTCCAAACACATCCTCTTCTCTTCCTCATCCGTACTCCCCACTAGCTTCAAACATGCAGCTTTCAGGAGTGTTAGCAATTTCATCCTTTATCATTGAGGTCTCTTAGGTTATGTTGATCGGATTCTTCAAAAATATCGTGAGGAGTTCGTCGGATCCTTCAAAATGGGTGCATTTTGGAGAATCCCAACATGAGATGCGGTAATATTTTGGAGATTCCAAGCAACATAGCTCTTAGCTTTCTAGCTTCTTGATATGTAGTATCCAGGGTGATAAAATTTTATTTTTTTTACACAACCTGAACTAAAATTCTACATTTGTTCCTTTTTTAAAAGTATATTTACTGGTACTTCTAACGTTCTGGTTTATCGATATTTTCTAATAAAATAACTACTTCATCTGAATTCTTTTGTGAAGCAGCCATACTTGAACTAGAATATGTGCTCAAGTACGAGTATGAACCTCATTCCTTTTTCCCACTTTCACTTCCATTTATTTCTCAATTAAGAAAATGAACGAGAATAAATAAATGCACTTAGCTCGTCTAGAAGGATTGACTTTTTTAACCTTCAATCTTACTTTGAGTAATAAAGAAAACTTCAAAGATAAATTTTCTGTTTATTTGTGTCTTTTTTGTTGGATAATTTGGAAAAGAGGAGTATTCTTAATCAATCAAATTCTCATGATCGATAAGTGGAGGAAAGTTTCTTTATTTACTTCTCCTCAAGAGGAGGGGTGAATTGTAATCTATTTAAAAATCTTAGTTGATTAAGTATGAATTTAGTCGACTAGATTTTGCGCAGGATTGATTGCAGTGGAGATAAACTAAGGAAATAGAAAGGTAAAGAAGACACGACAATTTTTATACTAGTTCGGTACCGGTGTGGTACCTACGTCTAGTTCCCTTGAATCACAAAGGTTCTCTTAGATCTTTAATGAATGTTTACAGCAATGATGGTTTTAGTACGTTCACCGCCAATGATATACAACAACAGTGATTCTTTCTAATGTTAACACAACTCTCGTTTTGTGTTCTAACTCTTCCTATCTTTTGTGACACTTATAGACTCGGGAATACAATGTTTGTACTAAGAACTAGAAAGGCTTGTGATGTAAGTTGCGTGCCTTTCTATGTTCTTCTACTTCTTCCTTTATAGCTTGAAGAGACTTCTGTTTCCTTGTCTTCTGGGATTGTATGGCAGCAATTTTAGGAGTCCTTTCCTTGTGAGGCATATACATCCAAGAGAAAGACCCAAGGATAGCCTCATGAATCTAGTTTGAAATGGTAGCTATATTCATTCTTAATCTTGACGAATTGCTTCATTCATTTCTCCTTGATTTGAGCTTCTGCAGATTCTTCTGGATTTGATCTCTAGCCGTGATTAGCTCTCTTCCCATTCTTGCGCGCTTGAGAATCTTTGACAAGGCTGACTGATTGACTTTCCTTCTTTGTTCTTTGACTGATTGATTCATATTTCATGTGAAGCAAAGTTCAAAATACATAGCCGTTGCATAGGATCTTCTTTCCTTTTGTCAACATCGTTCCTTACCAAATCTGTACACAAGGAGATGTCATTAGTCAAGGCTTGTTTGAGATTATTGATCATTATTAAAATTCTAAACTTAACAAAGTTCACTTGTATAAAATAGCTATAGTATATATAGTTGTTCCCCAGACCCCACTTGTGAAAAATTACTGGGTTTGTTATTGTTGTTGTTGTTGTAAGTTCACGTGTACAAAATAGCTATAGTATATATAGCTGTTATCAATATGTAGTATCCTAACATGCACCTCGTTTAGTAGATATATCATAATTTAATTCTTAACTATACATGCTCCTTACGTACTCTCCTAAATACATGAACTAAGAAAATCCATGTAGAGGAATCTAGTTTATTTTTCCAACAGTCGTTACAGCTTACAAGCAAGAGGTTTCCTCTCCCCTTGTATAAATAAGATTTCAATTCTTTTTGGATTATCTCATAGGACATAAAAGAGAAGAGTACTGCTTCCTATAGTTTTCTTTTAACTCGTGTGTGAGTGCAAGATGTTACAAAAACAAGTTTAATTGAGAACTTTTTGGAACGCATTCTCTATTCTGATCCTGTATACAACTAACAAAGTCCATCTTGATCTAAAATGGAGTTAATTGTGCATTTGATTTTTGCAGATGATGGTGGTGTATCATCAGATGAAGAGTTGAGTTGTGGGGAGGTAGAAGGACAAGATGCATCACAGAGAAGTGAGGATAATGAACTTAAGGACAGACTCCTACGTAAGTTTGGGAGTCACCTAAGTACTCTAAAATTGGAGTTCTCAAAGAAAAAGAAGAAAGGAAAGCTACCAAAAGAGGCAAGGCAAATGTTACTTGCATGGTGGAATGACCACTATAGATGGCCTTACCCTACGGTTTGTACTTCTAATTTTATCCCTCTTTTACGTTTTGCATTGAACTAATTAATGCCTTTTTGTTCTTGTTGTTCGGTATCTATAAAAATGTAGCTGGATGTGTGTTGTATCCTCTAAATATAGTGTATTTTTGGAGGATTCGACATAGGTATGCCAATAATTTTAGTGAGTCCGAGCAACATAGCATCAAACTGCTTTTTTCGTAGTTCTATGAGTTTAACGTTTATACACTGATTATTTTAAAAAGTAATTACACAATTAGTTTTCTTTTAAATCAATTACAAGTAAGTTTTTACGATAAATCTTTATGGCAGAATAACCTAGTAGACTCTTATACTTGTTTCGGTTTGACATCCCGGCCTCCTACTTCACTTGTTATCATCGAGTCTCTTTAATTTGATCAAAGCATATATTTTAAATCCCTCTAACTATTTGTGTTTTTCACTTGCTTGACGTGGATAACACATCATATTCCACACCATTTTTTATATTCTAACTATTAAAAATGCTTATTATATACTATTTTCTTAAAGAAAAAGAAAAAGAAAATTAATGCCTCCATCTCATCTCCCTTCTCTCAAATTAGTGTTGCCTTGTGATTAGCGGTGCACATATTTCTTCCCCCTTGTCCGTCTCATATCCTTTCTGCATTCTCATCTCCCTTCTACATCTCACCATTCCGTCGATGAATAATCATTTAGGTATTTTTAATTAGGCAGATCAGCGCCGCATTGTTCTTAGTAACGGCTATCAAGGCATCGACGGACTCGGATATTATCTGCTTGCGAAGCTGGATTGT